ACTGTAATATGTACAAAAATATATGTAATTAGAGCGCTAATGCAGGTTGTTTCGTCAAGAATATCTACTGGGCAAATACCCGAAAAAATAGCACAAAATGCACCTAAAAAATCGAGATAAGATTTATTCTATGAATTGTAAAAAACGATTAGTCACCGATAATTAATATAGAAAGCCATGGAGTTGCCCTCTGGGGATGAATTTTAGCAAAGATTGGTGGTAGTAAACCATCATTAGCCATTGCATAAAATATTCGAGTCTGTGAGAGCATCCCCATCAATGCTACAGTTGTATAACTAGCAATAGCACCTAAATTCATAATAATTGATAACCAAAGACCATAAGGTGTAGTTTTTCTATAAATATTACAATGAATACTACTAATATTTTCTAATACATTAGTAATGACTTACATTGCTTCAGCAAGAGGACTATCTCTGTCTAATAAGTTGCATGGAACGAGTCCAACCATCACAGTACATATTCCAACATAAAGTAGCAATGAAATAATTGTTGATCCAATAATGGCAATTGGCAGTGATGTCTCTGGTGACTTTGCTTCTTGTGCTACTGTTGATATTGAATCAAAACCTACATATGCAACGAAAACATAAGTACATGCTTGCAGCATTCCTGCTACACCATGTCCACTAGATGAACCTAAGATATACAATAAAATGCATTCATTTTCTTAGATATATCAATCAAACAAGGATATACCATTATTTAGTGAAAAAAATGGATAATAATTATTGCGATTAACATAATTACAACAGGTGAAAATGAAGATTAAAATTATAATAATTTTAATCACAACTAATACGGAATTGACTGTAGCTGTTTGACGAATCCCACTAATAAGAAGAATTGTAATTACAATAGTAATTGCAATAGCAGGTAAATTAATCACTTGACCGGTGATAAAAAAACGTTCCGTGTCTTCGTTCCAAGCCACTGGTGATTCGATAATCATGCTTGTTACATTATAATCAGATACAATATCAATAAATAAAACAACATGCTTGCTCCAAGCAACTACTACTGTCAAAACACTAAACAGATAAAGTATCACTGAATTCCATCCAATAAACCATGCTAAATATTCTAAAATGAAGAAGAAATAAATGTGGAAACCTCGGATTTAAATCCGAGAGTTATGTGTACTTCAAAAAGTGAATGAGACAGATGAGTTACCCTAGAATGTGTGGACATCAAAATTGTCCTGGCAAACCCTTTCTGTAAACACTTAATTTCTATTGGCTATTGCTCAGCCAATACGATTTGGAGGCAAATACAGAGAAGATTTGAACTCTTCACCTTCATTTACCCTAAGAAACTCGTTTTTCTTATAACTTGATTTCTATTGGTCACTGCTCAACCAATGGGATTTCGAGGCGAATGGAACATAGATTCGAGTTCTCCATTCTAGAAAACCTCGAACTATCATCGCTGTGATGGGAAGATAGAGCTCTAATTGTGGATCACATAGAGCGCGGACAAAAATAGAACCGAATTCCGATTAATTATCTTTGCAATAGGCGAGTTAGCTTTCTTGTTTCTTTATGTTTTATATACCATTTTGTAGCTCGTGAAATTCTCTATCGAATGGTATATAATAGTTGGGGTTTTATATGACTATGATAGGAAAAGTTTTTTATGAAAGTAGAGAAGGGTCTATCTTCTCATAGGGAAAAATGACTATTTTTGCTATAACTCAGCAATGGTTCGGCCAATCATTCTCATCTTCGAACTCGACCGAGATATTGTTAAGACTAAACTGTGTAGAAAATTTCATCACGATCGGACTCTTCTTTCAAAAGTTATCGTGTTAACGGCCGGACGGCCGGCCGGACGGCCGGACACACTGACCGATTCTAGAGTGTACTCACTTTTTGAGTACACAAAAAGCGAATCTCTTATAACAATATTTTTCATTGTATACCTCCCAAGGCTAAAACAATAAAACAGAAAAACAAGAGTTCATGAAAGGAAAATATGTATACAATCAGTAACTCACCTACATAAACATATATGTAAACTGATCCAGAACTAGGCATCATTGTTCCTAGTTCTGAAAATGATAAAGATGACAATAATGCAATAACGCCTGTTATAACAAATGAAATGATGATTGATGGACCAGAATATTTTGCAGCAGCTTGTCCACTTAATACAAATATCCCGGCACCTGAAAAGATGATTCAAAACTCTTAGCACATGTAATAATTTCAAACTGACTCACCAATAATAGTACCAAGACCTACAGCAAGTAGTTGAATCCAATTTAGTGTACGTTTAAATCCTTGCTTTGTAGCAAGCTCTTCTTGTAGTTGTTTCATTGGTTTGCGTGCAAA